ATGGAGTGCAAACTTCAATGAACCTAGGCCGTAATGGTTCTTAAAATATTTGTTTATTTATTTCAAATGGCAGACGTTTTGATAGTTATCATTAGCACTTTAGATGACTTTGGGCTTTATAGAGGGAAAGAAACATCGATGGGAAAAAATTCGGGAGGGGTTGGGAACAGAAGAGTATTTCAAACATGTAATAGAGACAGACACGAAGGTAGAAAAAAGGGTAGGTGAGTACTGTGGAAGTAGTCGAATATGACATACAGTGGGGTGATGGCAGTTTGAAGTTAGAAGTCAACTGCCGGTTAATAGACATTTTTCCCCTATGAGCATACGTTTCCCAGGGTGCATCACGTGGAGATTAGTCTATCGCACGCCCCCGTTCTTAAAACATAATCTACTGCTTATATAGTTCCAATTAAATCAAAACATCAGATTAGCTTTTTTAAAAGCCGAATAAATCCTTTAATCCATGTTTTTTTATTCGAAAATTTAATAGCACTCGCAATAACGCCCAATCACAATGTGGTTGTTTATAATGCGAGATGTTAAAATGTTGACCGAATCTCCTCTCCGATAACCCGAAAGACTTCGGGTCATGGTTGTGGTCACCAGGGTATTTATTGAGCAATGAAAAAGAATGAGCACCTTGCAAGGAAATTACTTTGCACAAGTTAGCAAAGCATTGGTTTGAGGAGCCCATGCAATATGAAAAATAATGTTCCAATTTAAGAGTTGAATTTAACTAGCCTATGGCAACACTAATTAATCACTGTATTCAGTATTGTTCAAATTGTCGTCTCCTTTGTCATGAGGAACGTTTACTCGGCAGGATTGATAACTTTTTCACAAAATCCATCTCAAGTTGACGGCCTTACTTAATGTTCAATTTGGTGACAAACCAGCAATTTTTGCTTTACAAGATTTGAAAAGAGCATCGCATTTATCAGTGGCATGACATTTAGAAAAAAAACATCATCTCCACTTTTGAGTTAATATAATTTACAGCTAAAAAGCAGACATCATTAGAGCCAAATTAAAGAAGGATATATTTGTCAAAAACGGGGTGTGCATTAGACTTACCTCCACGTGGTGCACCCTGGGCAACGTATGCTCATACGGCAAAAAAGTCTATTAATCGACAGTTGACTTCCGACTTCAAACTACCATGGCCCGACTGTTCGTCATATTCGACCCCTTCCACAGTACTCATCTTACTTTTTCTCTGCCTTTGTGTCTGTCTGTCTCTTTTACATCTTTAAAACACTTTTCTGTTCCCCACCCCTCAAATTTCTGTTATTTTGATGTTTCTTCCCTCTGTGAAGTCCGAAGTCAGGTAAACTTTCAAAACGCCTGTAATTTGAAATAATATTTGTCAAAACCCAAAAACTCAGATCAACTTATTTTATTTATAGATAGACCTCGATTGCATTATTAATCTTATTTAAGCGTTTAACTTTTAAGACCTCCTGGCCGAATGAATTTCTAATAGAAATAATTTTCAATTAAAATCGGGAAATTAAACTCCAGGTAAACAAATGTGTAATCTAATATCGCTATCCATCTGGAAATTTTACTCCAAAAAATGGCAGCCAATCAAAAAGAATAACGCGCAAAAAAAACTTGATTTCAACTATCAAGACCCCGTAATTCACGTTTTAAATTTTATTTTTTATAAACTACAGGCGATTTAATGGCATTTAGCAAACTTGTGTTAAGTAAATGGCAAGCCTGAAATGTGCGAAACACCCCGTCTGAATGCAGGTGATTTGCAGCATTTTCGCACTATACAAATCTGCTCTGCAAATCAGATTGAGGAAGTGTGATGACTGGCCAAAGCAACCACGGGCTAGGGAATTCCCCACTCTCATTACATGCCTATCACTCTTCCGGCAATAGTCTTTCATGTTACCTGACTGTGGGTTGCAAAAACCTCCCCCCAATTGTCGAGTTAATGTCACCCTCCCTTGGAACTCTGAACAGTCACTTGAAACGTTTGTCTTCAATCTCCTTTATGTTGCTGTTAGTCTGCTTGGTGGAAGTATAGTACTCGTTGGCATTTTAAGTAGTATCCTATGTGTTCTTGTATTCTCACGAAATCACATCACTCTAAGAACCACCAGACGATTACTGATCCTTAATTTTATTACTGATGTTCTCTACCTCAGTTTTCTCGGCTGTCCCACTATTTTGATTGGACTATATCGAAAGGATTCAGTGAGTAATCTTGCTAGAGACTGCTTCTATACAATGGCGAATGTTGTTCAAATTTTCAGAAACTGGACCATTACAATCATAGCACTAGAGCGGGTTTTACTGCTATGCTATCCAATCTACTTCAAATTTTACTGGAATTTAAAACGTGTAACACACCTTGTCTACGTTGTCGGAACACTTTCCGCGTTTTTACGAACAAATACAGTCTTGACTCTGGTCTACAAGTATAATGGATTGTGTTCAATAGCAGCCAAATTATTCAGTTTAGATGCCCTAATTGACGTTGTTTTTTTGACATTTCTGCCACTGATTCTGTTGTCCTTCATTAGTGTACGCATATTTGTAGAAATTCAGAGGGTGCAACAGTGGCGATATAGCCTTAATTCAATGCATCGCAAAGGGGAGCTAAATTACCGGCATTTTGAAGCCCGAATTCATCGAACGCTCTTAATGGTTTTGGTCCTCTTTACCATTCTATCAATTCCATATTTCCCAAATGGAGTTCTTCGAGTTCTCCAAGCAATGAGAATTGGTGGTTGTCAGGTTTATTTATGGCAGCGAATAACCTCTGTAGCGGCCTACACAGGGACCCTGCTTAACTCAACAGTAAACTGTTTTGTCTATCTTATTTGTTGGCCAAGATTTCGACATATTGTTTGGCGAACTCTAACTTCACCTCTTAAATCTTGTTTTGCCTGCTTACAAAAACAATAAAGATCTTCATTGTTTTCTAGGCGTTTCGCTTTTCCTTCTCAGGATGAATATTTTATTTTATATTTTATTCTCTTTATTAATTGATTTAAAAATTTTTAAGTTAAGTACACTTGTTTTAATAAACGTTAAAAATAAGCCTTCTTATTATAATGGGTAATTTAATGACTAATTCAATTTTGATCTTTATTTGGCTTGTAATGCTTTGAAATTTTAATTACCTAATCGATATTAATGCATTTAAGCTTTAAAAGTTTAAAATGCTTTTCTACTAAGCACTTTAATAGGGCTTTAAGATAGGCGTTTAAATTACTACCTACCATGATATTTTGATTATCATTAAAATTGAGGTGATTTCTTAAACCTGACTCTGTATAATTTCCTTAAAATTCCATTGGCAGATCTTTCACCAAGAAAGATTCAAATTTTAAATCGCTTTTATAAGCCAATTAATAACATTAAATCATCACTTTCTTAACTACATGATGAGGTGTTTTGTGTTTGCCAGGCTCCTTTCAGTCTACCCCACGTCTTACTTCCAAAGCTTTTACATTTTAGCATTAAATCATCTTGCGTTAAAACCGACTGAGTTGTTATCTGCCGCACAAAATTAACTATTTAAATGACGCAAATTCTCCACTTCCAGCAAAGAACTTGTTGATGAAACAATCAAATCAAGATGTCTCTACTTTCTTTTTATTAACTGATTGTGTTGCTAAATCTCGATGAATTGTTCATTTAGCCAACAGATGTGTTAATGATTTGCGCAAATGCGCAATATTGAATGTTAATTTTTTTTGGATAATCCCTCAAGTCATTATTACTATTTTAGCTATAATGTGTCTTTTGTTTGCGATATTCACTTGAGTACAATTGACTATAATATTTCATCAGGAATACATTGTTTATCCACACTGGAATATCAATCGACCAGGCCTTCTAGTCTCGAGAGTCTTTTGTGCGCAAATCCCACAAGATCAAGCATCGGTACTGTCAACGATTAATCAATGATACTAAAAACAAAGTGCATGTTAAAGATTGCAAGAGATTTTGTGCACTAGAAATTACATTCATATTATTTTTTGACATCTTTAATCTTGCGTATTCTTAATTCCCAATAATAATTGCCCAATCCAAAGTTTCTGTTGAACTGATGTAATGAGAAGAGGGCACCTCTAGGCGACAGAGCTTCCAAAACTAACACTTGAAGGATCCTATCCAGCTGTATGAGTTAATACTAGTCAAAAACGACTTTCCTTATGCCCAAGTCATATTTGAACTTCTCATCGTAGCGTTCAAATTTGTTAAACTGAGTTTTGTGAAAATATTTTATTTCGTGTAGACCAGCAGTATCCAAACCAACATGACATTTCAAAAATGAGCATTGTTAGATTCATTAAAAAGCACTAAATAGAGGGGAAATCGTTTGCTGGTGGATAATTAACATTAAGCCGATATTAATTTATTTAATGATAGCACAATTTCACTCCTAGTAGGTAAATGCTTCATTGAACTTTGTTCTAACACGTCCAATCCATCATGAATTCATTCATCTACGTCGCCAATATGGATGGATGAAGGCTTTAATTGTTTTGACGGACTTATTTGCATGTCTGCAAAGATAATATACATATTTTTACCGACATACCATAGCCGAAGTTATAATGTTATTTATTTGAACAAGACCTGCTATTTATTTGCTTGTCTATTCAGGCGATCATAGTATTTGTTTAGGCATAAAAATTTGATAAGAGTTGTGATTAACCGGTTTGTTTATGATTTTCGGGTGAAAATAAAGATTATATATATACATATATATCATCAGTAAAAATACATGGACCGAAGTATTAGTCTTCCAATGTGGTTATTTCTTCACTAACCATTTCAACTGAGATAGTGTCTATCAACCTTTAAATTGATCTTAAGTTGCAAATAGGGGGGGTGTGTAATAGACTTACCTCCATGTGGTGCACCCTGGACAACGTATACTCATACGGCAAAAAAAGTCTATTAATAGACAGTTGACATCCGACTTCAAACTACCATGGCCCTACTGTATGTCATATTCGACCCCTTCCACAGTACTCACCTTGCCTTCTTCTATACCTTTGTGCCTGTCTGTCGCTTTTACATCTGTGAATCACTCTTGTGTTTCCTCTCTTGACTTTTGTGACTTTGATGTTCCCCCTCCTCTCTGTGAAGCCCGAAGTCAACTAAAGGGCTAATGTTAACCATCATAAAGCCTGTCATTTGATATAAAATATATTGCAAATACAGCAGCTCTTCTGGGTGAGATTTAACAAGCTGAGAAATTAAATGAACTTGACTTTTTTCCCAACAATTATTGTAAGAAAATGGAGCATTCATTCAGAATGCGAATTCTTATTGTCCATGTGGAGAAAAATTGTCCTTTGCCAAACAATGAGATAAAGCAAGTTTTCTAGCGCTCAAAGCATAAAGCAACTATTTGGGTGAATTGAGGCGGTAAAGAAAGGTGACTTTCCTCGCCTCTTATTGTACTGCTTACTTTATTAATTTTTTTCTGGTTATTTTAGGTCAAATAAATCCCTTTTCGGGTTGAGATGTCCCCTTTAAAAGAGAATTAAATCTTAGCAACTAATAGCAGCATTTTCCTAATTTGAAGGACTGGTGCCAAGATCGAAGAAGGGAGAAGTGTGGGTTACTTTTCAGCACAGAAAATTGTTGGCGGGGGGGGGGGGGGGGGTGGACGGTCAGGCGTTGACTGTTTTGGAAGCCCCTTTTAGGCAAACACATGTTTCATCGTGTGAAGGCTTCAATCCACGTAAAATAAGGTGGAATGGTTTATGATGCGCACTTTAAAGTAAAATATTCAGCTACATTTTTGTAATTTGTATAACATTTGTGAGCCGAATAGTGATTAAAATGGGTTCTTGGTAGTATTAGAAGCTTTTTCGTAATTTATTATGTTTATTTAATCCCAACGAATTTAAATTTACCCATCCAAGTAATGTTATGGAGCACACAACTTACCACGAACATTCTAGAAGGTATGGCTGTATTTGCAGAGGCCTTCTCAACCATTTATATTTATTCAAATCAATATAAATTTATTCAATTACTCATCAGATTAGTTGTGAGTATAAGTTCAATAAACGATATACTCACAATACAACTGCTTCCTCTAAATCGGTGAGGCAATTTAACTAATTCTGGGAGAATTTCTCTACTAGGATATTTCGCCAAAGAGTTTGCTGATGGTAAGTCAAGGCCTACTTATGTAATAATGCTGAAAAATTTTCAAACAATTATAATAAAACTTTATATTTGCCTTAAGATGCAATATTTGTCGGGTGTTTAAAAATAGTGTGAAATAGAAATCCTGCTACAGAACACTACTCAGAGATATCTAGCTATTAATGTTCACGCGAATTATGCTAGATTTATCTGATAACTAATCGCTTTGCCAACATGACACTTCGCTATCAATATACGTACTGAATAAACGTGCTCCGTGATACACGTCTGTTTCCTTTATAGCTGGGCTATAGCTTAGCTTGTTCTGGGAGTCTAGCTAGATGTTAAAGAATCTGCCATAGGGATATCTGAGTCAGTCAGACTTTAATAAGGTAGCAATCCCCTCCATAGATGTAGCTAGATGTAGCAATCCGCTACAATAGGAATAAACGCATTAGGTTATTGATAAAGCAAAAAGTTCTCATTTTTTCAAAGTTGGGATAAAAATTTGAATACTAGAGCGGCTTTATGTATTTAGATTTCAAAATGTTTCCTATTTTATACTCATCATTTACAGGTCATTGTTCTCTGCGTTGTGGTCTAACTTTTTAAAGCTCAAACTCATCGCTGTATTTATTGATTTGCATTCCTCAACCGACATGTTTTCAAAAAAATAAATTTTCTGCGAAGAATTTTATATGTTTATCTTAAGATTGTTAACTGATAATCGTTCAAAGAAGTGAACACCTATTCGCTGAAACCTAGAATTTCAAACCTTTATGCAAATATCTGCTCATTAGCCTATATCAGACATCATTTATTTATTTCAAATTTCAGGCGTTTTGATAGTTATCATATTAGCCCTTTAGTTGACTTCGGGCTTCACAGAGAAGAGGAGGAACATCAAAATCACAGAAAGTCGAGAGAAGGGGGGGGGAGGCACAGAAGAGTGTACAATAAAAATATCGTCCATTCTAATAGGCGTTGTAAACTTTTTCAACATACTAGTCTTCCAGGCACTTTAATCACAAACAATTGCTCAATTTACAGCATTTAAATGCTTTTAACTAAAAAAGTGGCTTTCGGATTCTCGTTTATCGTCTTATTCTAATTCTGCATAGAAATTTATAAGAACTTCAACTTAAGAAATTAAGTTATTATCTAAGCTATTTCTCTATAAGTTATTACCAACCTCAATTAGCACGTCAGAATGCTATCGGAATTATCACTGACCAACTTCAAAGCAAACAATGATTTTTAATTACATTTATTTGTCTTGAAAGTTCATACAAACAATGTTATGCCTGAAAACTTACTGTATATCCCACCGACCTGGTTGTAAAAATACCACGGGTGGCTAGTTTAAACCACTTCTTCCGTGGCACTTATGTTCTCACCTCTTTACACCCATAATTTTACGGGGGTTCGTAGATCTTTCCTTCTTACAAGATATTACCGACTCATGTAAATTTATCTTAAAAGTTGCCTCTTTGAAATCACTGGTGTGAGCCCACTTTCCCCGCCAGTTAGATCTCGGTGCTTGGGCGTAGTGAACGCTGTTCTACTATGGCTCACCCACCCCCCACCCCCCGCCATTTTAATAAAAAATTAATTGGCTTAGTGGCGAGTGGTTTGTGGGTTAGTTTGTGGTGAAATAGAAAAGGTGCTCAATGGTATCGTGAGGTTAAGTTTAGGATTCTCTTGTGTTTAAGCTACAAAGAGTAGAAAGTCAAAAAGGGGATCATTGTAAAGAATGTAAATGATTATTGGTGGATTGAAATAGATAA